TATATATATATATATATATATATATATATATATATATTGCCATTGGGTTCTGAAGGTTTTTAAATCAGCCGACACCGTGTTTTTTCGCAATTAACTCGTTTACCACAGTGTGCTATTATTGTCTTTGAGATGATCGGTGATATCACATATCGTCCTCCTCTTAGATCTACTTTTGAGATCTGCGAGATTAGTCCACTCTCAATGATTCAATTACTTTTTAGTGTTCCCTCTTCTTTACTGATCAGATTGACATTTTTTAAAATCAAAACTGTATATCATGGTTAACGACCAGTGCGTTTAGAGTTGTGTTATGCACAATATCCCTTCGGAGTTCACATATTTTTTTTTAGCTTTCTGGATGTTTCACCGATGGAAATTTTGTGCAGTCCATTTTTTTATATTCCTGCCTCTGTCGTTGTCATTCCGTTTGATGCTAACTATATCGCCTATTGTTTAAGAGGAAGTGTTGAATTTGGGGCAGGATTTTTCAATGGCGGTTGTTATCGAGTTTATGTGTTTAATTTTGTTATGGTTGTCAAGCTTATTATTATTTGTGGATTTTTGTAATTTTCTTTTAGCATTGTGCAGGAAATAATTGCTGTGCAGGAAAAGATTTTGTTTATGATGCATTTGTCTTCTTCGGGCAGGAATTGGGATTTATAGAATCTCTTATATAATATTATATGCTTACTCCTGATTTGATTTTATTGCTTTGATAGGAGTAGAAGTGTATGAGGTCATTATTGTTTTTTGGTTTTTGACAGTCTTTCAGCTGAATATCCTTACATGTGCTAAGGATTATGTTTAATCAATTTTAATATAACGTTATATTATATCTCTGTTACGTTACACGGACTTTTCATCGCGTAAAAAACATTTAAACATAAGATATACATACGTTCTCTTGTCGTTTTAAACGTATGAGGTTTCAACAACATATCCCCCTTTCTACCTTACTTGAGTTTGTGCCTTCGAAGTATTTTAAGACCAGTCGGTATCCACATGCTGTTCTACAGATAAGGTAAAGAAAGATATAGAGACGAGAAGAAAATATTATTTCTGCGGGGAGCCCAAACCGGGTTAACTTATCAACCAGTAAGTCATTCTTACTGCTCCATCCATTTTAGTTTAAATATTTTTACGTTAACTTAGCTTCTACAGATATTTACTGTGAACACACATACATTTTTTTTTATCATTTTTATGATTTTTTTAAACATTTCAGCCCAAACACAGTGAGAATTCCACTAGTACGCACGGTGTTACAGGTAGTGAAAGAGAAGATTGAAGAAATAAAAAAGAATGAGGAAATGAGAAATGATGTACGGGATTCAAGAAGACTGAACATGTCGATTGATGTTGCATTTAAATTTTTGAAGATTGTAGTTGACTGGGAAGCAAGAAATCGGAAGGGATTTACACAGGTGAGAAGTGCTGAAAATTCTCAATTAATTCCGCGTAGTCTTTCTGTTGGATTAGTTGCGAGATAAATCTAGACAGGTTAGCCTTACCATTTAACCCATGGATTGAGGGGAAATTTATTGGATGAATTCTTTTTACAAGTGTATTAGACTGAAATTTTGGGAACATGTCCGAGTGTTGAGAACATTCGCTTTCTGACTATAAGAATCTCACCCTTGTCGATTCGTCAGGAAGGTGACTTCTTGATGGTGTCGATGTGGAGTAGGCGACCACAGCGTGCGGCATCTTTGCAAAAAAAAAAAAACGGAAAGCTATACAAGTTGACTCAAGCCCTGTGATTGAAATTGGGTAAACGGAGCTGTTGTGAGCCGTCTATGGTTGTCTTAGCACCAAGTCACAAGTCATCGTGACTGAGAGTTTGAGTGTACTAGCATTGTTCAGACTGCTGGTTATGCTAGATAACGCTCTCTCTCCCAGAAATTGTAACTAAGATCTGCTTAAAATCGTTGCAGTATAAACTATAGATCGGATCTGTGGGTGTTGAAAAAACACAAATGTACTTAATCAGGATTGGTTACACGCCCTAGTAGACGGGCCTCCTCAAATTTGATTGGCTGCTTTAAAAAAAAAAAAAAAAAAAAAAACCTGAAAATTGAACGTAGCAGACGGCGACTGAAATTGGATTTTTATTATTGACCAACTGTTATGCTTCTTAGTCAATAAAGCATTAATAATTCGGTCAGTTGTTTTTCATATCGCTTTTCTTTATTTTTGATAACCGACATCCGTAGAGTTTAATTTAATCATATGTATTCCGCCATCTTTGTGAGAGAAACATAAAGAAATTTGTTTTTGTGGATTCAAAACATCTTCATAATTCCATCGTTTCATCTTTTTTTTTTATTTCAAGCGTCAGACAGAATCTCTGTCCAGAATATTCGAACGTTATGCTGTCCTTTCATGTAAAAACTCAAGACTTCCTTCCAAACCAACTAGGCTGGCATCTCGCTCTCACCCTTTCACTGTTGAAACTGTGAAATATAACCGTTTCTTCTACTCCAATAGTTTCATGTCTCGCACTTCTCGCCTGTGGAACTCCCTCCCCTTTTCTTGTTTTCCTGATAGCTATAATCTCCTACTATTCAAATGTAATGTTAATAGACATCTCCAGATGACTTGATCCTTCTCTTCAACCTTTCCTCTATCACTCCTATTTGCTCTCACTCCAACTCTCTGTAAACCCTTGCGTGCTAGTGGCTTCCCGCCTTGCTTGGGGTGAAACTCTTTTAAAAAAAAAAAAAAAAAAACAACCTGAATTAAGAATCCACATTTTTAAAAAAAAATCTTAGTCAATTTATTTTCGACTCTTTTTAGTTTCTTGTACAGTTATTTATCAGACACCAAGGAGACAAAATTAAATTCCCTCTCGATTCTTTTTCGCACACTTCGTCTTAACACCCATGGAAAAGGCATGAACTCATCTTGCTCAAGGTATGACTTAAACAGAAAGTCAACTTCGGATACATTGCAAACAGCCAAAGAGAAGAAAAAAAATCTTAATTCAAAACCCTAAAATACTGGGTATGTTGCTGGGGCTATATATATATATTTTTTTTTTGGTTTCATAGTGTGTAATAATCATTGGTGAATGAAGTAAAATTGACGTACCGAGTTCAAACTCCGACCGCATCTATTTTGTTCACATCGCACTAATGCTCTTGGCAAAGACATCTAAATCCAGTTCTGGGTTAAATATCAGGGCAAACTGGGTTCTTTTACCTTTAGTCAGCAACTATTCTCGGTGATGGAAAACTATGGATTCAAACTAGCGTTAAGCTATCTTATCAACGACCCACTACTATTGCTATAACTACATTACACATGGCATCCTTACAACCGTAATGCTTTACAGGACACCTCACATAACTTATTTTACGAAATAGAATTCATAAAACATTCACCGAGAAACTAACTCCTGGACAGGAATACAGGTCTATCCCTTGCTTCTTGTTTAGGGAAAGGTCTCCGGTTTCATCTAAAATCTACTTCAAATCTATACTTATAATCTTTCCGCCTAAACTCTGAAATTTTATTTACTATTTATTTTTTACTTTCAATAGGAGTAGATAGGTTAACATATCGCCCGGTTCATTCTCCTCCCCGGTCTTTTGCACAGTAGTAGATGATTATCTCTTGTTTTATGTTTAGAAGTGAATTTCAGTTCCATCTAAAGTCTACTTCAAGTTTATACTTCTAACGTCTCCGCTAAAGAACTCTGAAATTTTATTTAGTGTTTATTTTTTCCTTCAATTGGAATTGTTAGGTTCCCATGTTGTCCAGTTCAAACTCCTTCCTCGTCTATTGAACAGGAGTAGAGGTTTATCCCTTGTTTCGTGTTTAGGATTGCATTTCCAGTTCCTTCTAATGTCTTCTCAATCTCTATCTCTCTCAGTAGTTTGCAGCATGTTAGTGGCATTATAGCCTTGCTTGGGGTGAATTGTTTGAAAAAAAGAAAAGAAAAAAAAATATGTTTCAAGGTAGTCAAATAAACATCACTGTATGGCAAGCGTCCAGCTAAAATCTTTCATTTTACTTCATCTTCAGTCGAATTAAACACTCACTGATTTCCCTCTGGCTTTTCTTTTCAGGGCGGGATTGTGAGAAGACTGACGTTGGTACAAGTTTAAACGGGGTTTAAATGTTTTGATTAAAATCATTAAGAAAATAAAATATATTTCCCTGTTTAAATTTTGCTAAAAAAATAAATTTTGTTATTCACACATTGAATTTGCTTTAGTAAAAAGGAAAAACTCACAAAAACAAAGGTTAGGTGTTAATTTCGAAGATAGTGTTATGAAATCACTGATACCAGTGGTTATCTTATAGGAAAATCGATTTTGAAATGTAGCAGAGTTGAGATTTCTTTTTTTCTCTTGTTTTTTTTTTTTTTGCTGCTTACGGCCTTGTTTAAGAAAAAAACATACGATACCAACGGGTTTTACAAGTTATTAATGTTTCTAAAAAAATAACTTGTTCTACGTATCTTGTCATTGGTATAAAAAATTTAGTCTGATTCACTTCATAAGCCCGTCTGTATGAAACCAAAACGTGATTGACTTTTAAAAGAGATTTCTTTTTTTTTTCTCTGTTCTCTGCAAAGGGTAGAGATTTCCTCTCGATACAAACGCTGTATTTTTTAAAAGTCGTTTTTGCTTCTTTTTATGCCTTGGTTCTTTTATTCTCTTTCATTCTGATCCTTTTTTTTTTACACTCATTTTTTATTTATTTAATTATTTTATGTCATCCTTATTGCCTTTGTTTCGTCTTTTTTTCTTCATTTATGGTTTTTATATTCTTCATTTGGTTCTTTTTTTTTTTTTTTTCGTTTTCAACTAATATTTCCTTTTCTACGGTTTTATTCTTTATTTCACTGTCGTTATTTTTCTGAATTTTCTTCTTTTCTTTTCTCATTCAGTCTTCCTAATCCCTATAGTTGTTTTTTTCTTTCTTCCTTACAATAGTCAAGTAATGTTTATTTTATTCTTCGCTATAATTCTTTCTTTCTTTTAACAATGCAGCAATAGTTTTTATCTTTACTCTAATTCTGTCTTTCTTTCGTAATTTCTCTCTCTCTCTCTCTCTCTCTCTCTCTCATAATTATAATCTCGTATTGCTTTGGCCATCTCTATAATTAATTATTAGTGTCTTTCAGTTATTCATTCATTCATTCTTTCTGTCTTTCTTCTTCACTGTCTTTCTTTTTTCTTTCTTTCCCTCTATTTTATTGTCTTTCTTTCTTCCTTCTTCCTTTTTTACTGTCTTTCCTTTCTTTCATTCTTTCTTTTAATAATGCAATATTTTTTTACTTCATCTCTAAATTCTTTGTTTCTTTTTTCTCACTTTCGTTCTCTCTCTCTCTCTCTCTCTCTCTCTCTCTCTCTTATAATAATGTAGCAATATTTTTTTTTACATCGCTATAATTCTTTCTTGTATTATTTGTTTTGTTCTTTCTTTTTTTGTTTCATTCTTTCATTCTTTCTTTGCCTTTTCCTTCATTCTTTAAATAATAATCCAGCAATGCTTTTTTCCTTCGCTATATATATATATATATATATATATATATATATATATATATATATATATATATATATGTATTACTATCGCTATAATTCTTTCTTGTATTATTTGTTTGGTTCTTTTTTTTTTGTTTCATACTTTCATTCGTTCTTTGCCTTTTCCTTCATTCTTTAAATAATAATCCAGCAATGCTTTTTTTCGCTATATATATATATATATATATATATATATATATATATATATATATATATATATATATATATATATATATCCTTTCTTTTACTTATACAAGTTTTTTTTTTTAACATTTCTTTTCCTTCTTCTATTTTCATTAGATTTTCCACATTTCTTCCTTTTTCAAATTTTTCTCTTTTTTTCTCCCTCTGATTTAATTATTTTCCCTTATTTCCTTAACTTTTCTCTCTTTTCTTCTCTTCTTTTTCGTCTTTCGTCGCTTCTTTTATTTCTCCCACCTCTGTCACATAATTGTTGTCCTATTTACCGTTTGAAATATGTACACGAACTTATCAACGGTTTTGGAATAGATGCAGTCCCGTTTAATTTGGCGCTGTCACTTCCCACGTTTCTTTTCATTTTCATTAGAGTCATCCAATTTCAAATCACAACACGCGCAGATACTGTCATCCCGCATCATAGACAAAAAACTTGACAGTCTAAAAATCGAAAATGAAATACAGAAACAAAATAATTCATGTACAGCCGTGTATACACAAAACACATAAATGTATGTAAGTTGATCACGAGATTATTTCGAACAGATTATATATTGAGTAATACATATATATATATATATATATATATATATATATATATATATATACATAAATATGTACATATATATATATATGTATACTCATACATATATATATATATATATTATTTATATATATATATACATACATGTAGAAATATATATATATATGCATGAAATGTATATTTATGTATATATATATATATGTTCGTATATAATGTATACTATGTACGTATGTATATGTTCGTATATCTATATAATATATATATATATATATATGTTTGTGTGTGTGTGTGTGTGTGTGTGTATATATACATAGATATATATATACATAGATATATATATATACGTACATATATGTCTTTATATTCATATATATATATATATATATATATATATATATATATACATATATATATGTAGTGATTTTCAGGTGTAGCTAAGATGTGGCACAAAACCGAAAGTAGTGGACACCCAGTGAAGATCGAACTCCTACTACCGTCTCGAGGTGGCTATATATATATATATATATATATATATATATATATATATATATATATATATATATATATATATGTGTGTGTGTGTGTGTGTGTGTGTGTGTGTGTATATATATATATATATATATATATATATATATATATTTGTGTGTGTGTGTGTTAGTTCTACCTGGATTATGTCCTCTTAGGAATTTATCTATGTATATATATATATATATATATATATATATATATATATATATATATATATATATATATATATGAGATCATTCGATATTACTGTTGATAAAGATCTGAATAAATTTGAATAATATAAATATAAATGTAGAATTATAGATATAAAAGAAAACATGCATATTTATTTTTGTATATAACTGCGCATACTTTATCTGTGTATATACGCATGCTACTGTTTGATGTCCTAATTGATTGTGGTACAATAAATTAACTTGGTTACAATCATTCAACACAAAACAAATCGGCATGTATACAGAAAGCGCTTGGTATTTTAGAAAATAACATAATGTCGCTTCAAAAATTGTAGATTTTTGTTCTTTTTTTACAGATTTATTGAAGCAGCGCTGAATACTTTTGGCCCAAGCCACCAAACAGTGTAACTTCGGTGTTACCGAGCCTCTTAAAATAGGAGAAACGACAGGTGGCTACGCAGGGGGATCTACGGGGGCAAGTGTAGCGGTTCATACCATGTTCACATCGTCTTTAACCATTTTGTGGACGTGAGGGACTAGGAAGATATCAAACCACGTAATTTTTTACCCATAGATTCAAGTCAACACCTATATTGATGTGCTGGATATGGAGGTTAGGTTCCGTAGAGTTTGGCAGGGAGCCAGTACTTTGCTACAGTGAAACTCTACACCACCGCTGGGAGCCAGCAGGTGCTCCTACTGAAAATAATAAGTTTTTCGGCTCCATAATTAGTTCTCTAGTATCCTAGCGCAAAACTGCGCACACACACACACACACACATTACTATACAGTTTCCAGAAGTTTTGCAGGATATTCCGAAGTCGTCTGGAGGCCGTGATTGAAGCCAATGATTATTTTATTGAATAACTTTACTCTTTAAGTAATTCAAGATATTTTTGTGCAATTTTAGTAAATACATCTGTTAAAAGGAGATGTCAGTGTTATTTTCATTTTTGAGTAATTTAGACGACAATTTATCCATCTCACACTATGTATACATATATTCATCAATTTTAAAAAGGAGAACGTCCAGAAGATATGCAAGAGATTCCAAAGATGTCTGGAGGCCGTCATTGAAGCCACTGGGGATTTTATTGAATAAATTCACTCTTTACTACTTCAAAATATGTTTGTGTAATTTTGGTAAACACATCTGTTGAAAGTGTTATTTTCATTTCTGCGTCATTTAGACCACAAATTAATGACTCTCTCTCGCTCGCACACACACTTAAATATACGGTGTGCGATGAATAAATTGTTTAAATGACTCAAAGAGGGAAATAAACATAACATTCCATTTTAACAGATATATTCACCAAAATTAGACAAAAATATCTTGAAGTACTAAAAAGTAAATTTATTCAATAAAATCGCCATTGGCTTCAACCACGGCCTCTAGACAACTTCGGTTTATCCTGAAACTCTTCTGGACGGTCTCTTTGTTTAATTAGGTAAATGCTCTCATAATCCTTAAATTCAGTTCTTCTTTGTTATTAGAAAGTTTTTCGGGTCTCTCGCTCAGCTAGGCCCCCACACATAAGGGGTGATATAGTCGCAGAAATTGTCTGACAGCCAAGAATAGTATTCCCTGCTTGTGAGAGAGAATCCTGTTGCCCGACATAGGATCTTCCAGCAGCGATTGTCTTGTCTCGGTGCAGCTTACCCTCCAAAAACTCCCATAAAACCTTTTTCAACTATTATCCTAAAAGGAATGTTTTAGTTCTATTTGTTCAGGGACAAAGCTGTGGAAGGACAGCTTCTATTCTTGGGCCCTGCTTAAAATAAATGTTGCTGCAATCTGATAATTTACAATATTTTGTTAGCGTTATTACTTTTCAACTGTGATGTGTACGTGTTTTCTTTTCTTTGTCTGTTTTGGTTTTTGTGTGTGTTCGTATGTTGGCCCACCTGGGAACTGATGTCCTTTTTCAATTTGCATTGCATAGTGGCAAAAAGAATAAATAAATATCATTCTTAAAATTCAAGGTCAAATTTGGACTTTTCATTCCATCTTGTTTTTCTTAAAACGTTCCTTGGTGAATATTACTGCTAAATACACAAATATTTTCTATATATATATATATATATATATATATATATATATGTGTGTGTGTGTGTGTGTGTGTGTGTGTGTGTATTTAGGCAGAAATCCTTCCTTCACGTAAATTTCATTGAAAACGACAGACAAGGTGCTTTTATTTAGTTTTTATACCATTTCTCATGCGATCTAATAATTTTTTTTTTCTTTTCGGATGATAAATTATAAAAAAAAAACCTGTCCGAATGTTCTTTTTATCCGAGCGCTTTAGCCATTTTCAAGGATTATATTTTAACTGTTAAAATAAGAAACAGTTTGTTGTATGTACGTTTTTTTTTCATTTTTCAAAACACGGTCAAGATATTATGTCCATGTTCGAAGTTAATATTATTAAGTGTTGTTTTTTTGTTTTTATTAATAAGGCTTCCGATATTTTTAGCCTTTTTTTGCATCTAGATGATTATTAGTGTTGTCAACCAGTATGTTACGAATAGTCTTTGTAGGTCTCCATGAATATTTAAATGAGATCTAATTGAGCTATGTTCAGAATGGAGTGAGACTGCGTGTCAAACACATATATATATATATATATATATATATATATATATATATATATATATTGAGAATCAGAGGAATGAAATTGTATAAAAATGTCTGCATAAAAACAAATTCAAATATCCATAGTATAGTTTAAAATTAATTAGCTCCTATATTTCCATAATATTTACTCCCCCTCTAATCCTTCAAATGTCGAAAGTATAATTATTAGGTTAATAAAATAATGTAATAATGTTTTTGACGTATTTTTTAACGTCAAAAACGACATTATTACGTCATTATTTTTGCACCAACCTAATAATTCTAATTTCTATATTCCATCTCTATAAAGTCTTTACACTATATTATTTATAATCTATAAATTTTCCCTAATCTAATATCTCCCCAACTCTCTTGTCTGGAAATCTGATGTTTTTGCTCTTCCAAGTCTTACTGACTTTTGCCATTTCCGATGTTGCCATAGCCATTAATATCTTGATATCTGTTGTAGAGCGTCTATCTTTAATGCCATAGTATTTAAAGACATCCACTTCTTCCAGTTGTTCTCCGTTCATGAAGATCTGGGCCCTGATGTTGGTTGGCCAGAACTTTCCTGTTCTCGGTGCTTACTTCCATTCCATACGCTCCTGCTCTGTCTGTCAATCTTTTTGGTGAGACACTGCAATTCGGAGTTGCTGCTGTCCAACAAGTCAATGCCATCAGCGAAGCGTAAGTTGTTAATGAATCTCTCTCCTATGGATTTATTGAACTGAATGTCTTGAGGGGTATCTCGGATGATGTTCTCAAGAAAGATATTGGA